TCTGCTTGTCGAACTTCAGTGACGGCCGCGGACACCGTCACAACCCTCGCATCTGGGATTCCTTGCTGACGCTGTTGTTGTACGTCAGGTATACTTCCCCCGGGGACTTGGGACCCCGGCGGCCCCCGTAATCGGAAAACTCCTCCTGACCAGTTCCAGGCATAACACTATATTGCACTTCGAGTGTTCTCAGCAGTAGTGTTGTAAACGCCAAAAGCAGTCGCAGCGCCACGTGCGCCATGTTGGGAGCTTCTTAAAAGGCTCGGGCCGAGATGCTTCACCATCACCATCACCATCACCATCACCATCACCATCATCATCATCATCATCATCATCACCGTGGTCATCGTCATCACCATCATCGCCACCACCACCGCCACCATCATCATCCTCTTGATCATCATCATCATCATCAACGCCGGCGTCACCCACTTGATCGTTAACACCACCACAAGCACCAGCCTCGACATCTTGGTCGTCGTCACCCTTCGCATTGCCGTCATCTTCATATGCACCGTCATCACCACTAGCACCATCACCGGCATCATTATCATCACTGTCAGGAGCAGAATCAGCATCGTAGTCGTCGTTGATTTAGCATCACCTTCTTGTTTGCTGTCAGTATCGCCATCATCATGTTCGTGCGTTACCATCAGGAAGACGAAGCCATACACGGCAGAACCAGTCTGCGGAATATGGTTTCGTCCACACGAACCTGGACGGGTTTCTTCAAAAAGATGTTCTGTCGAACTACTCCTTACAGGCTGTTTCCATGATTTTCAAGTATTTGGCGGCTGGCTGTTTGCATGTATTATGCCCACGCGCTTCAGAGGTCAGGCTCAGAGGGAGGGGGCTGTGGTCCGGTGTAGAGATGAAGATCTCAGTTCAAGTCAGTGGGAGGATATAGGGTTTAGGTTTAGGGGTGTAGTATAAGTTCTTGTCCCTGGTGTTATGAAGTTTGATGCCATGAGGTCTCATCGTTAAGGTTCAGGTTTCGGAGCGTGCTTTGGAGGATCTGCAGCTTCAGGGTTGTCGTACGATCTTGATGTGTTGGTATGTCGATTTGCAAGGTTGGGTCATCGTTGTTCCGAGGAATACAACAGGGCCTGGGATGCGAAGATTTCGTCTTTGAGTGTCTTCTGTTTACTTTGCTAGCTTTGGTTTCCGCGGCTCCCCAAGGCGCCATCCCCCGTCGGCGAGAATTCTCCTTTCCCGATGCCCATGGCGCCTATGGGTGAAGCACAGCCCATGCCCATGCAGAGGCCGGCTCGTTCTCTGATCAGGAGTGGGATAACTGGTAGGGGTAGCAGGGGATAGTTGGTGAGTGTGTGATGGCTCCTGCTCCTCCCACTCCTACTCCTACCCCTGTCTCTACTCCTACTCACACTCCTACTACTACTACCATAATACCGCTACTGCTACTCCAACTCTGACTCCTCCTCCTACTCTCACTCCTACTCTCGCTTATCTTCTCTCATGCCTTACTCTTACCACTACCTACTCTCACTCGTACTTGTTTGCGCTTCTACCTACGCTCACTCCTACCTACCCGACTCCGGCTCCGACTCCTCCTCCTCCTCCTGCTGACGTTCCTGCGCCCCAGCTCGCGCTCCTTCTCCTGCCCCTGCTGCTCTTTCTACTGCTGCTGCGACTGGTGCTGGTGCTGGTGCTGCTGCTTCTGCTGCTGCTGCCGCTACTATTTACTTGCAGCAACAACAGCAACTACTACTACCAGTACTGCCACTAAGTACTAAGTACTAACTACTAACTGCGATGTACTAGGTACTTACTACTAACTCCTTCCTTCTGACTATTGACTACAAACCATTACTTACTAACTATACTAGCTACTAGCTACTAGCTACTAGCTACTATCTACTAGTTACTAACTACTAACTACTAGCTACTAGTTACTAACCACTAGCTACTAACTACTAACTACTAATTACTAAC